AGAGAGAGAGAGAGAGAGAGAGAGAGAGATCTTTACACACACACAGACACACACACAGACAGACACACACACTCACACAGAGAGAGAGAGAGAGAGAGAGAGAGAGAGAGAGAGAGAGAGAGAGAGAGAGAGAGAGAGACAGTTCACCAATGATTGTTGTTCCTCCTATTATGGGTCCTTGAGACTTGCGATCTGTCTGTGAATGGTTGTGAGTTTGTCTATGTTCTCTCAAGTCATCCCTCTACACCTCTTAGGGTCTAGGAAAGGTTCATCGACCAAATCTCGCACTTTCTTCCCCTTTCCGATGTAGTCTCTCCTGTATTAATCAGAATGCTCTTTCAATACAATTTTGTTCCAGCCTTGAGAGAACATAGACAAACTCAGAGGGAAGTTGCGGTCAAAATGGAGAGAGAGAGAGAGAGAGAGAGAGAGAGAGAGAGAGAGAGAGAGAGAGAGAGAGAGAGAGAGAGAGACTTTCGATCTGTCTGTGAACGGCTGTGAGTTTGCCTATGTCTGAATGCTCTCCTGTGAACGGCTTGAGTTCCAGCCTTGAGAGAGAGAGGGAGAGAGAGAGAGAGAGCGACTTTCGATCTGTTTGTGAACGGCTGTGAGTTTGTCTATGTTTTCTCAAGTCATCCCTCTCTACCTCTTAGGGTCTAGGAAAGGTCCAACGACCAAGTCTCGCACTTTCTTCCCCTTTCCGATGTTGTCTCTCCTGTACTAATCAGAATGCTCTTTCAATAGAATTTTGTTCCGCTTGCTTTGATAGTATAAGGGAATTGCGAATTGAGGTGGGGCTCGCCTGAAAAGGAGGACGGAAGAGTCGGACCCTGGACAAACTTGGAAGGGGCGACTGTCTCTTGCCCCGACTCTTCTTCTCCGACCCTTGTCCGATTCTTACGAGGTCTTTGTCCTATCCTTGTCCAATTCCTCCCGATCTTCTCTCGATCTTCTGTCAATCCATCTCCGATCCATCTCTAATCCATCTCTAATCCATCTGTAATCCTGCTCTGATCCTTCTCTGGCTTTATCCCAGAGCGTCGATCTATGTCTTATGTGGGGACTCATCCCTCTCCTCGTTTCGTACCGTTCTCTTGATGCGCGAAAAGCCGTTAATCCATCTGTAATCCTGCTCTGATCCTTCTCTGCTTTTGTCCCAGAGCGTCGATCTATGTCGTACGTGGGGACTCATCCCTCTCCTCGTTCCGTATCGTTCTCTTGATTCGTAAAGCCGTTAATCTCTCTATTTGTACTCGCTGAGCATTCTGGAGAGTGTTTTTTTTCCGTCGATGACCGAGGGGAAGGAGTGTCAAAGAGCGAGTGATGGTATAAGGAAGATGAGCCGTTGAGGAGTAAGAGGGGACAGAAAGAGGAGGGAAGGAGTGCTTTGGCTCCGTTGATTTCAGGTTGGCGAAAGTTCAAATTGGAGGAGAAGCATTTCAAGGACCGAGGGAGCAAGGGAAGACGAGGATGGAGTGAGAAAATGGAACAAGGGGGGAAGGAAGGAAGTCGAATCATGGACGGCTGGCGCGGCGGCGCACAGGGAAAGTAAATGGACGACAGAGGGCGAATTGAAGGGAAGGCTAAAGACGGGGATGGAATGGGAACAGGGAATAATGGGACCAGAAAGATGAATCGTGGGCTG